CTTGTTCACAATCAATAAATTACAGACCGTCTCCATATAGCTTCAGTATTGCTGGGTGGTTCCTTAAAGAACAAGCCCTATCCTTCTCTGCTCATCACTTCAATCAAGTATGGAATTCAGTATTGAACTTCAAATACAACTGGGGCGGTGGGGTAGTCCAGTGGTTAATGGATGGAGCCCAGCTGGAATATTGCTGAGTGCGGCGTAAAACTAAACTCACTCACTCTGGTGTCCTCCGCCGTGACATTGCTGGATTATTGCTAAAAGCGGCGTACACACTCACTCAAATACAACTACCTATAACGCGTGTCACCTTGACCTTCGTTTCAGAAGAGTATTACGCTGCGTTTATGGCAGTCTACGGACATAAAATGATATATTTTGCTTTGCAGCTCCGTAATGATCAAAGCTATTACATCTTAAACGATCATAATTATACGCGAGATTAACGCTGGTGAAGAAGGACTTCCTAAAGTTGAAAATCTCCCAATTACCGGATGTTACCGGATTTTACCGACACTGGAAGAGGTCTCCACGTTCTCTCTGATGTTCGCCATCTTGAAAGTTGTCAGCGGGGCGGAAAAAATGAATGAAGCGTGTGATGTGATGTCACAGGCCAAGGTAAGTTCGGTGCAGCTTTGAGGTCCGCCCAGTCGTGATGACGTGGTTGTGCACTCAAAGGTCTGTGTGACACAGGACGTTGTTGCACTGAGGACCGTTGCTCCAGGAACACTGATTCACACCGTCACAGATGAGAAATGGATTCCAAGAGGATACTCATTAAGCCATATTTTAACTCCATTGTGGCCACAGAATCCACATTTCTGTCGCAATGTGTGTAAACAATGAGGTACAGGATTGCAATATGTATTTGCAATAAGGAGTGCGAGAAGCAGACGACATATTTGATGTTGCACAACATCAGCTAACAGACGACATGTTTGATGTTAACAACGTAGGCTAACAGACGACATATTCTAGTTTGAACATCAGCTAACAGGCGACATATTTGATGTTCAACAACATCAGCTAACAGACGACAAACTGGATGTTGAATACCACCAGCTAACAGACGACATTGACCTCAGCTAACAGGCGACATACATGATGAATACCCTCATCCATTAGATGACCTATCGATGCTGACCCTGGAATGCTACTGTAAACCTCGAGCGCCAGAATCTGCCCCGTGTCAAGACTTATCAGTTCGAGGCTCTCACTTATCAATTCGAGGCCCTCACAAAGATGCAACATTTCTTAATTCGCGTCAAGAAAACTCTCTCTGTCTCTGACATTCCCACGGCACAGGGCGGAGGAAAGTACATGCCAGCCAAAAACGTGTCAATTACTGGTATATCACAGATAAGTTCCATGCTTAATACATTTTCCACCCACTGATGCGTTGATGGTGCAAGCACGTTTTGAAGATCTGTTAGTCTAAGTGTGTTCCAACCACTACAGCCATGACTCTCTCAACATGTGGCGGTGTTGAACTGACGTAATGTCTGCTGTCATGCTGGTTCCCGTGGTGTTGATTCATTCAGTCTTACACAAGATGGTTGATGCCAAGCCAACACGGAAATACATCACCCGCCGCCACAGCGGCATGTGTGACAACAGACGGAGAGAGATAGTGGGTGTAGGTACATGGGTGTCCTAACGCTCACAGATCAAGTGGCATGTGTGACAACAGACGGAGAGAGATAGTGGGTGCAGGTACATGGGTGTTCTAACGCTCACAGATCAAGTGGCATGTGTGACAACAGACGGAGAGAGATAGTGGGTGCAGGTACATGGGTGTTCTAACGCTCACAGATCAAAATTAATGTGTGACAACAGACGGAGAGAGATAGTGGGTGCAGGTACATGGGTGTTCTAACGCTCACAGATCAAGTGGCATGTGTGACAACAGACGGAGAGAGATAGTGGGTGCAGGTACATGGGTGTTCTAACGCTCACAGATCAAGTGGCATGTGTGACAACAGATGGAGAGAGATAGTGGGTGCAGGTACATTGGTGTTCTAACGCTCACAGATCAAGTGGCATGTGTGACAACAGATGGAGAGAGATAGTGGGTGCAGGTACATGGGTGTTCTAACGCTCACAGATCAAGTGGCATGTGTCAACAGATGGAGAGAGATAGTGGGTGCAGGTACATGGGTGTTCTAACGCTCACAGATCAAGTGGCATGTGTGACAACAGACGGAGAGAGATAGTGGGTGCAGGTACATGGGTGTTCTAACGCTCACAGATCAAGTGGCATGTGTGACAACAGATGGAGAGATAGTGGGTGCAGGTACATGGGTGTTCTAACGCTCACAGATCAAGTTGTGACAACAGACGGAGAGAGATAGTTGCATACATGGGTGTGCTCACAGACAAGTGGCATGACAACAGGAGAGAGATAGTGGGTGCAGGTACATGGGTGTTCTAGCTCACAGATCACATGTGTGACAACAGACGGAGAGAGATAGTGGGTGTAGGTACATGGGTGTTCTAACGCTCACAGATCAAGTGGCATGTGCTACTTGGCTTTATGCGAAAGAAATGGGTTCTCAAACTCTTTGTTACAATGGTTGGAAATAGAACCTATGTCTTCTGTGTAAAGAGCTAAGGCGATTACTTTGGCTGAAGGGGTCGTTGCCGCCACAGGTACTACAGATACGTACCCCAGGTACGTTTCTGTATAGAGATATGTACCCTAAACAAAGTCAAAATACAGAAACGTACCCGGTACCCTAAAAGGCGGACGAGTCCTTATTCCGCAATCCAAACCGGAACCCGTATGTAGTTGTTCCCGTTCAACTGATTCCGAGTGGTATTCATATGCATCGCGAAATATCCGTTACTGTGTATTCTCATTACTTACATAACGCAATCAAATGTATCTAATACAACAACATGACAGTTCCGATCAAGAATGGGAATGGAATCGTTCTAGGGTACGTTTCTGTATTCTCATTATGGCCATGGTACGTTTCTGAATACAGAAACGTACCTGCGGTACATATCTGTAGTACCCGTGCCGACAACGACCTCGTCAGCATTAATTTGGGACTTGTGGGGAATAGGCCCACTGTTTTCTATGTGTCGAACAAACACCATCACAAGGGAGCCACCAGTCTGTCTCACAGTCCCTGAATCTCTGGTCTCCTAGGGCTCCTTTTTCAATATAAATGGGCTTGTTTGTTACTATCCAAATTATATATATTCAGAGACTAAGCCTTAGTCTAGGGAGCCACTAGTCTGTCTCACAGTCCCTGAACAACATTATTTTCCCTACTGCCTAGCCTCCTCTCTGCAGTGCTAAAGCCCTAAATAAAGCAAGTCTAGATTTCCTCAGGTTCAGGGTCTGTTAACATCTGCAAGAAAACTAACTCACTTTGGGGGTCGGGTTACAAAGTAAACATATCTAACTATCATGGCTGGCCGGACCAACATCCTCACCAGTGGTCTGGAATCTTGCCTCACAGTTTCATCTGTCAACTCTTAATTAACAAGCACATTGGGTGACATGAAGCTATAGTGGAGGCCTTGTGCACAGTTTCTGGTCTTGAAGAGACAAATCAAGCAAAATCTTGGGGAAAGGTTCCTCCTGAATGTTATGTTGTAAAAAGTATTGTTTCATTGTCTGACTTGGGTCCACACATAGCAGCCCAATTGTAAATGCGGTTAAGGATTTAATTGTAATTAAAACAAGGGTTATTTTTCTTATTCCTGATATAAGATTATTGTGTGAAACTCTGGTGTGTTTTGAGTATCTCTTTTTATCTAATTGCTCAACAGTAAAACATATGGCAGGGACCTAGCACTCATGAAGAGTGAGTGAGTGAGTGAGTTTGGGTTTACACCGCATTCAGTAATATTCCATATATGGCGGCGGTCTGTAAATAAGTCGAATCTGGACCAGACAATCCAGTGGTCAACAGCACGAGCATCTACGCAATTGGGATACAATGACATGTGTCAACCAAGTCAGCAAGTCTGACCACCCGACCCTGTTAGTCGCCTTCTTGTGAAGAACCAAATTCAAAAGGCACAGCATCTCGGAATTAAATCTGTTTACCTTCGTGATGTGACGCATGCAAGGTGAAATCTAGTGAGGATAATCTAGTATCTAGAAATACCCAGAACATCTTCAAGCGTAAGACAGACGCTGGCCTTTTCACTTCCATTGAACAGTTTGTTTAAAAACAGGTGGTTATCTATATCCTTTTCGCATATTATACAAATGGAAACTTTTGAATTTGGAGATAAGTTCAAATTCATAAATAATTTTGTTGGTGTTCCACACAGATCTTGCACCTTGGTCATCTAGTGTCCAAGTGACATTGTGGGCTGCATGTTTCCCAACAGTAAAATGTTAGGCAGTAGGGGCACTTGACCGGCCCACATGAGGTGATGACAGCATGGAGATAGGACAGGGCTTAACAGGAGGGCCAATAAATATGCCTTTCACTTATAGCGTTATCTGATGGTTGTATGATGTGACTTCTAATTGGTAATGACCCCAGCACGTGTAGCCCCAATGCAGATGTTCTTAGTCTCTGAATCTCTGGTCTCCCTAGGGCTCCTTTTCAATATAAATGGGCTTGTTTGTTACTATCCAAATTATATATATTCAGAGACTAAGCCTTAGTCTAGGGAGCCACCAGTCTGTCTCACAGTCCCTGAACCACATTATTTGCCCTACTGCCAGCCCTTCCTGCAAAGCCTTAAATGGAGCAAGACTAGATTTCCTCAGGTTCTAAATTTCCCAACTCACTGGGCTCCTTTTCATTTTAAATGGGATTATTTGCTACTATCAAAATTGTATATATATTCACAGACCAAACGTTCGTGTACGGAGCCACCAACATTGGGAATAGAACCAGTGAAGTCCACTTAGAGCCCACTGGAGTGTATGGAGGAACTACAATGTAACTAGAAAAATTGTATGCATCAAGAGCACATGCCTTGTATGTCAAGACTATAAGATTTAGTAGACGACAGTTACGTACCTCCAGGTAGTATTTGTGTTCCCTCTCCTTGACAGTGAGGGCGTTGGCGACGGCAAACACGATGCCGAACACAACCAGCAACAGACAGTAAAGTCCACACAGCAGCTTCGTCATCGCTGACCTTGAGGGATAGAGAGAAAGTTACATGAGACACGGTAAACAAATACGTACAAAATACAAACACGATGAGGCACGAGCACCGAACAACAATCAATCCTTTTTGCGACCATAACCCTGAAACTATAAACAAACCATTTGCCCTGGTTTCATGACGTTGAAACCCACGCTTCCCCTGCATTATTCGACACTTCAGAGCCTGGTAGCTTCTAGATTCAGTGTATTGCTGATTCCCACGGAGCTGGTAGGGAGCTAGCTTCGATTATACATATTCATTCATGACAGGTTTCTCTTCAGTCTAGGTGTAGTTTTGTGAAATATGAATAATAAAATAGATCACTATCGAAATGTTTTATTACGGTTTTCAAAACAGCTTATTTGGACAGTTTCGCTCCACATTTGTTTGGCCCCGGGTGCCATGCACAAGAGAAAGTTGCTTAACTCTACAGTTGCTTTGAACAATTGTTTTCACACCCGTCACGTATATCAAACATGTTTTCTGTTGGGATGTGTATTATCCCACATTTGAAATGTTTACCGCCGCCATGTAGCTGGAATATTGCTGAGTGCGGCGAAAAACTAAACTCACTCACTAACTCAATTTGAAATGTTTCTGCCTACATTCATTCACCCGTGTTTCCTGACGGGGTTCTAACCACAGTCCAAACTATCATAACCCACATATGTCTGAGAAGATGAGCAACACCATGTAATATCCTGTACAAAAGTATACCAAAGATAGAGAATCACTTCTACAAACAATCCTTAATCATGATCAAGAATTTGCTACAATCTGTAAAAATTTAATTTTTTTACAAACAGATGTCCAGAAACCATTTCCAAAATATGTCATCATATTTACAATTTTAAATGAATTCTGTGTGTTACCATGGTCTCCTCATTGTTTCCATGTCATTATGCTACATATGATTTGTGAATATATTTATATCTTTGTACCTACTACGTTTTTAGTTTATGGAGTATTGCCACTGTCCCTTCATGGAACGCTATGCAATATATATCTTATCTTATCTAATCCAGCGTCTTCAAATGTGTTCCTCAAACCTTAAGACGTAGTTTTCAGCTACTGGATGCCCAGCGTTAACTGCATACTTCGCGGTATTAAAATACCCCCTTTAATGGTATGCGCCAGTCACTGTGGTATGACTCTGGTATGACATATTGGTGTATGTAGGTCACGTTACCCAAATTTCAAAAGGTCACTCGAGCATATATGTTATTCAAAAGGGATTGTGAAACGATATTGTAAACTTTCATATAATTAGTCTCTACTATTTCTAACAGGTGTCCAGAAAGCAACACGACCCTGGATTGAAGTCCATGTTAGGAGCATAACGCCATTGTGTTTTTTATATTAACAAACACAGTCATTAAAGGTTCTGTGGAATTGGTATTTATTAATATTTCATTTTTTCTTGAGCTTTAACCACTCTACATGGAACTAAGCTACTTTGTTATTGTGTAGGAAGGCTCTCCTAAAAGCCTAGGAACGTCTACATCAAACTATCAAAGTTATTATTTTAAGAAATGTTATCACAGTCTGAGTGTTGGTCTCAGGCAGTAACAAGGGATTACAAAGAAAAGTAAATATTGACATATATCAGTAACAAAAAGTACGGACATATTTAGACCGACATTACGAGCAGGAAAGTTCCCCCTGAACAAAGAATGCATAACCACTTCGCAGCAATGGCCTCTATATAACCTTACGTCAACATCCTGTCCCAGGGAAATGGTAGCTTTCTATGACCCGATCTGGCCCGCATATTTATAGACCGTAATCTGACACTCTCGTCTAAATCTCGTGTAAAATGTGATGTGTGAGATGTTTATGTGGTGACGTTATCGCAGCACTAGAAGATCCTAGGACAAGCTTCAAGATAGCTCCAGCTATGCTGTGTATCTTCAATATGTACTTGCAGATTCCAGGAATGTTGGTGTTGAAGCTTGGGGCAAATGTCATCTCTGATTCCTTATTTTAGAATGTATTGAACCTTTCGTACTTAATATAAAGTCCAAACATTCCAGTTATACACGACGCCAGTTACAGTGCAGTTACCAAGACAGTGACGTTATCACGTTACAGTAGACACCGGTTACAGTACAGTTACCAAGACAGTGACGTTATCACGTTACAGGTTTCACCGGTTACAGTACAGTTACCAAGACGTTATGACGTTACAGGTTAACGTATTGACAGAACTACCAGTGGTCTGTAAACGTCCGCACATGTTATAATAAACAACTACATACGGGCACCGTGGATAGCGTGACCTACCTCGAAATATTACGTCAGTAAAACCGTCAGCCCAGTTCTCCTACGACCTGTTGCCCCGTGACTTGTCGCTTCCCTGTAGATCTGCCAACTACCAATCCAAACCTACTGGACGTTGGTCACTAAATGTCTGACCATTACCTATCACGTGTTTTTAGTCTTATCTTAAACCAAATTCCTGGACGTTTATAAACATACTGGATCTACTGCGAGCGTTCTTCTAAACATTATTGTAGTATATAAACATGATATTTAGATAGGACCCTGCTTATCCGAGCTGTGGCCTTTGATGCTGATTGGTTGATTGATGGTATCGGGCTGAGAGGGAGATGGTGCTGATCCCCCCTGCCGATGTAGGAAATAAAGTATGAACGTAATGAAATCAACAGCTTTTAGCAAACGGATATTGAGTTCAGGTGCAGTTTTTATCACCTTTTAATGTTTTATTCGCACTACTAGTGTGTCGCACAAAGATGTACACATAGTACTCAAAATACGATAAAGAACACCCGATTCCTTCACATCCGTTTTTGTTTAACTTCTTTTGAATCGTATATAAAGTATTTCCTCGTGACTTCATATGACTGTTGTATTTGATGACATCTGGATATCTTGAAACGCTCACAGGAGCTGCATGTACAGGTGCATTCTGGGTATATTGTTTCCGGAAATGGACCGGCAGCATGTGCCGGGCTGAGGAGCACGTGTGTTTGTGTTTAGGCGGACAGCGCATGACAGAGCAGACACCACCGCGAACCCATGACAGCGTCGACACCATGACTGCAGATCGGTGACAGCGTGGACACAAACACTCGCGAACCCATGAAAGTGTGGACATAATCACCAATGAAAACCCAGCGAGAACCATCACCGCATGAGAACCTGGACACCATCCCTCGTGAAACCATGACAACGTAGACGCATTGACTGCGTGGACACCCGGTGTTCACAACACAAGCCGACGCTGCGTCTATGCGAGCAATGTCCAGGTATTCCCCTCTATCGCGCGCGGTATCCATTACGCCGGGAAAGAGGAAAGTACGTCCTTGGGCAAAGTTTGTAAATCTGGCCAAACATCAATTATTACCAGAGAAGTCCCATCATCAGTGGTAACCATTAGAGATACATACCCCGCGACCCTTCTTCTTCAGATGTTGAAATGAGGAATGTATGAGAAGAGTATTTTAAGATGTTTTCCATGGAAGTAGATAGACATCTGTCATCATTAATAACTTTAGTCTCCTCTTGTCATCTTTGTGTACTCCACGACCCGCTACCCCAATTAACCAAAAACATGGTGACTTGTCACGTGACCCCACGTTACCCAGCATGCACTGCTGACATACCCTAGCGCCCGGTCTCCACACATCTGTGTGTGGTTATAGAAAAGACCAGATTGATACCTTATATCTCCCAGGATGGCGGGAAGAATGTTCTGAATGAAGCACCAGCATAAAGAAGCTGTGATTGTGACGTGAGAGACATTCTACAACCCGTCCTGTGTGTAAATGTTACCAAGTAACGTCGCTTCAAGCTGTAGGAACACAGAGATTGCTTCAGGTTGAAAGCCAAGCTTGTCGATACACGTGTGCGCTTTGTGATGAGGATACTGGTTAAACAAAGGGCGGTACCCCGCTGGGGGAGGGTGTCCATGTCCATAAACACCCGGTGTTGGTGTACATCTCCATTGTTCATTTGGCATTATGTAGGACACATTTTATGTTAGACCCATATCTTGGTGCTAAGATAGCATCTCTTACACAGACATGATCTATATGAACAGATGTGGAAAAGCCTTTTGAGCATATATCCTCTCATAATAAATCCCTGTGTTGTAGTTGTAAAAACAAAACAGACACACTTCCATTCAAAAACACTCGTCTTCAGTTACCCGCTACACACAATGCAGGGCTTGTCTCTGTCAGTCGACATCTGGATGAAGTAAAACCCAGGAGAGCCTGTGTTGACGTGAATATATCCCACAAACTGTAGTAGCTTAACAAATCATTAGAGTTCTCGGGGTCCAATTAGACACTTGGGAAACGTGACACGAGATCGTTAAGATAAGTAATCTGTCTCGTGATATCAGAACTGTGGACAATGAACACACACACACAGACACACAGACACAAATAACAACAAAACAACAACAACAAAAACCATCAAAACAGACACACACATATACAATGAACATAGGGGACCAAACCCAGAAAAAACCATTGAATCTATTTATGATGAAGAACCAACATAAGATTAGCAGAATTCCAGATAAAAACATACACAGACCTGCGTCAACAAAGATGCTAAAACTACATCGATATCTAGGTTATCAATGCACGCACGGATAAATGTGCGTTTCTATCGCACACACAGGACACGTGACCTAACCATCATGTGTGTCTCGTGCTCTGCACGCGCTTGCAGCTAGAATCAATCAAGACCTACCTCGCCATGTTGCCTGGTCCCCGAGAGTGACTGCTCTCAAGCAGCAGCCGGAGTCTGGGACCCAGAGAGGAGCGGGCTGACTCATGGCGCGGCCTCTCTACCTACGTGCTTGTGTTTACACGTGTTTTTGTATTCACACATTCCTCCCAAAACATACACACTATCATATTCATCTTTAATGTACCAAAGCCTGCCAAGGTAGCGAGACTGTTTGATAGTTATAATTTTTTTTTACTACGAATAATTAGCAGTTACTTAATCCA